CTATCTTATTTACTACCTGAGACCCACTTGGGATAATAAAGCTAAATAATCTTAAATCTACACCTAATCCTGCCTGATAATTCTGGACTCGGTCAAGGCCAACAGGAGAATAGACATGATTAAGCACTCAATTTATGGCTCAAAAAGTAAAACTCTATTGTAACATAGACTATAGGAGACAGATTCACGAATGGCATGCTAAATTTTGGTTCCAAAATAAAATTCAATAAAATAACAGTATCAGGTGACTTGAGTAAGCTCCTGCTAAGTCATCAACACCCTAAAGAAGTTCCACTGTTAAGTGGCAGTTCATTCTAACAGAAATTATGTTAGGAGACAATGATTGAGTAAAACAGGTCACAGGCCTTCATTCTGATTTATAGAAAGTGATTAAATATACACCTAAACAACGAATGTGAAAATTTTTTTAAATAAATCTGTTCTTGGCATATATGAAATACTGATCTCTATGCCTGAATAGTTTCATAACAAAACTTAAATGTTTTTATTTGACATTAACACATCCTATCTAGTATAGGTCATTTAGTTTCCTGTAAATGTAGTTCAGGAGTGTGATCCAAATGATAAGCAACACATTCAGTAGTCACCAGTTATTTAGTGTCACATTGCTTTTCAACAAGTCATTACATCCTGTGTGACAGGAAAATGGGTGGAGGACTTGTATATCAAACTTCCAGAAAATCTTGTTTATAAGGTGACTATTTGCGCTGCTGTGTGGCTGTCCAAAACTTTTTCAGCAGGTCATGGCTTTTTTCTAAGGAAGTTATCTTTATAAAACACATTGATAATTCTTTCCTTTTTTTAGGAAACACAATATCTAAAAACACACATGCACACACATCAGCATTAAAAACTTTTTCACATAAAAGTTTTGAACTATAGAAAAAATATTAAGTGATAAATATTTTTATAGTGGCTTATAGTGTTTAGCCTATAGTAGGCACTCCGTAAGTATTTATTAACCCACTGAATCAAGAAATTAAAGCACAAGTTTCCCATATACTCTCTGCTGTTTGAGTTCTGATGATTTCTTGTAAGTTCCTGAAAAACAAATGTATTTTTTAACAGAAGTTGCAGATCCTACTGACAGGCAGATTTAAAGGATTTACATATATCACAGTCTAAATTTAAACAAAGAAGCCATTCTACCTCCTGCCTCGGTCACAAAACTCTTCTGCCCCTGACCCTCTGACCTATTCTGTGTTCCTCTCCTGGTAATTTAGCTCTTTGTCAGCCTCATTCAAAAGAAATGAAAGAACTGACTCGTCTTCTCTTTGCCCCTCACCCCCCAGATTTTTCACATTTGAAACAAAAGCCCCAGGTTCTTTTTCCTGGGTGTGAGCATTTCATAAGCCCTCCTGTTCAGTTTCTTAGAAAACATACTCACTGTTCCTTACTTTGTGTTCTCAGAGCAGGTTGTGGAGCCTTTAAATAGCATTGATCTCTATCTAGCTTGGTTTATTTGTCTGCTAACCAACCAAATCTCCTTGGTTTTTTTTTAAATTTTTTTTTAAATTTTTTGTTTTTTATAGTAACATTGGTTAATGAAATCCAGTAAGTTTCATCTGTACACTTTAACAGCAAAGCATATATATGTTTACCCTGCGTGTTCACCTCCCATAGTTAGAGTTCTTTCCGTCACCACGTATTTGACCCCCTTTACCTCATCCCCTGACCCCCACGCCCGTTAGTCCTGTTCATTTGTTGCTTTTAGGTTTATATCTCTATATAAGTGATATCATGTGATTTTCAACTTTTTCTGTCTGGCTTATTTCGCTTAGCATGATTATCTCAAGGTCCATCCACGTTGTCGCAAATGGCAGTATTTCATCTCTTCTTATGGCTGAATAGTATTCCATTGTATATATGTGCCACAGCTTCTTTATCCAATCCTCTGTCGTAGGACACTTCAGACCTCTTCTTAATGTGTCCCCACACTTAGTCTATAGCCTGCATCCCTATCCCTACTACAGCACTTAACTGAGGGCTTCACAGTGTGTGTTGATAAATGAACCAATAACAATCTGAATTTAAAGACAAGAGGATTTTTGCTGATATTTTGTGATCATTTTTTATATAAATCTTGACAAATAAGATAATTTTTAGTATATTGAACCATCAAGTAGTATAATCTCAAGGGCAGCTCATTAAATAGCAGAACAATCTAATGTTCTTATTTCCTTTATTTCCTTTATTTGTAAGTTTTGAATTTTCTTTTTAAGCAGTCTCTTATTGTTATTTTCTTCTTCAATCTTAACACTATATTTGTTTGACATAAGGGAAAACTATAGGAAGTATTGTAGTAACAGCAATCATAGTACTGGTCATAATTTTCTCCACATTTTGAAAGAATAAATTCCTAGAAGAATTGGATCTCATTGGATCAAAGGTGTCATCCAGTAGAATGTAGCCGTTAATTCCCATGTGTTGGCTGCAATTTTCTCCCTGACCTGCTAGAGAGGTAAATTTAAACAACCTTCAAAATATGGGAAAATAAGATTCATTAATATTGTTCAATAATATTTAATCATATTAGTTCATATTTATGTGATATCAAACATATGCGTTTTTTAAAGATGATTCCAGTGCCTTTTGGCAAGCAGTTTTTTTCCTAAAATGAGAAGCGGAGATGCACACAAATGTAACACAGGAAAACGATTTCAAATATATTTTTTTACCATAGTGAGCCGTGTACGTGGTCTTGGCCTCCAATGTTAATTAAGATTGAATATCAAATTCGGTTTCAAAACATTTTCATTTTATAGAAACATAGTATTTCAGAGTTTTGACCAAGGGCCCCTCTAGTTTGGTGAGTTTCTGTCTAAGCAGAACCTGCATGCCAGTGTTTTTTAGCACAGAGTCCCTGGGCTCCTCTGAGGAACTGCTGCTATTAGTGTAAGAACACTCAGGAACTCGTTCCTAAGTCTGTGGCCCTGACTTTGATTGATCTATCCTTGTAAATTAACTTGAACTTGGAGAGCCTAAAATTAGAGGGACCTGTTAGAAAACACTCCTTACCCACAAGTACCACCACCAATAATATGGAGTTTAGGGGCTGAGAACAGGGATAGAGGGGAATATTGCCTGCTTTAGTCAGGTGGCCCCACTAATGAAAGCGTCATCCAAGGCTTTTGAGAAGGAATGCTCACTTATGTACGTACACTATGAGAGGTCAATTCTCTGAGCAAGTCAAACAGCCAGGCTAAGAAAATGAAGCACTGGATATGGGGTTGGTTATTTGCCATTGCTCTCCTTGACCCCCTCCCTCCCCCAGATCCATTCTCTGCCCTTTTCTACTCTGCTCTATATTTCAGGGAGACTGATCCCTGTAAATGGCATCACACAGGTCCCCATGCCCACTGGAGGGTTAGGCCAGTAGGATCCTTTGGCAGGCTTTTGAAAAGCAGAAGAAGGGATAAGGTACCTGTTTGCTGTTGCCTTTTCTGACTCCCTCTCACCCTACCCCACACTCATCTCACTGGCTGCTTCCTCCTTCTACAAGGACAATTTCTATTGGACACCCTCTCCCTCCCCGCTCCAAGACTCCAACTTTCACTGGTAGTGCCATCTCCTTTCTTTGTACCTGGAGGCCTAAGGGTGAGAGTAGTTTGAGACTCAATATGCTTTGCTGGTTTCTCCAGCCCTAAATACATATCTCTGTAAAGAGCCCCTTTATTGAATTCTATTTGAACTCCCAGCTGGTTGCATTTTCTATTATCTTCTGAGTCATGGCTGACAGATTAGGAGGCAAATACATGTATACATAGACACATACATTGATGTATGTCACTAGAGAGGCCTCATTCTTAGTGAGGGGACTTTGATTTCTACAGGAAATTTAATAAAAACTGCAGAAACTTTCCCTTGAAAGAAGAGATAAAGAGAAGGAAGGGAGAGGAAAGGAGATAGAGGAAATTTCTCTGCCTTAGTACAATTTTTTTAGTTCTTGATGTCTGATGTGTGTTTAAATAATAAATAGATTCCATGTCAAGTAAAATAAAGTTGAATATATCTTCTCATCAAAATAATTCTAATTCTCAAATCCTTCATTTAGAGTTTTAAGATTTTAAACTAAGATTTCTTAATTTAGCAAATTAAGAACAAAGGGCAAACTTCAATAAATTTTCTTCCAAGTCAAAAGTTAATAACTTGACCAAAATATAAACTTACTTAAAAGCTGTGCACCTACTTAGGTAGAAAATACATTAAGGCGCTTCAACCACCTGTGTTACTTAAAATACAGAATAATACATTTTACACACATGCCAACATCAACTTATAACAGCATCATAAAATTAACAAAAACAACTTGGGTAAGTACTTAAGAACTGTCAGTATTTTTTAAAAATCTCTGAATTCTTTCTTGAAACTCATTTATTGCTATTGAGAACCATATCATTTCAAGGTTTATTTCCTAAATGAATATATTCCAAGGTTTGCTTTCTTTTATAAAAGCTTTTGAGATAATCAGTTCCCACATTAACAGTGAGAGCCGAAAAACATCATCACTGGTGCTATTGTCATTTCTTGAGGTTTTCAAATGCCACTTTTAATTCCAAAAGCCTCTAACATGGTGTGCACAATGGACAGGAAACAGATGTGTCCTAGAGATTTATTCAATATTTTGTGTTTATTTACTACAAATAGACAAAAATTAAAATACAGCTTAACGTAAAGTAAATTTTCTTTAAAAACTCTTTAAAATGTCCCCAGATTGTAAGCACACAGAATTTAAAAACAAAAAACAAAACCTCCAGTGTTAGATTAAGTCTTGGCAATCCATTTATTGTGTGGCTCTGAATTTCTAAAAACCAAATTAGAGATACCTACCCAGCTTTCCTAATGAGAAAAATGTGAAATTCAAATTTAATAATAATGGAACAAATCTCCATAATTATAAAATGTCATACAAATAATACTTAAAAAAATTTTTTCTTTGAACATTTATGTTGTAAAATGAATGTTTAATTCCTCTTAAATTTAGAAAAAGACTAAATCTTTGCAAACAATGGTGAAAGACAATGTCATTGAGAAGCGTATGAAGCTGTAATGTAAAGACAATAAAGGAAGCAAAAGGCTAAAACATTACAAAGAGCCACGTACATAACTCAGTGGGTGAGCACTCAATCTCATCTTGTGGTCTGCATAGACCAGTGTCATATTGGGATTACGTGCTGGGATCTGTGTGTGTGCATGCGTGCTTGCACGCATGCTCACAGTCCTACATGTGTTTTAAATGTTAGGATGCAACCAGACTCACTTTATTAGTCAAGTCGTCTATTTTTTATTAATAATTGTAAGACAATCTTAAGACTCCCCTAAAATTCAGTCACTTCAAGTCTCTATTTCAATTTCTTAACTTTGAATTTCATTTAATTGCTTCGTAAATAAGAATTAGAATAATTCTTAAAATAATCAACTAGAATTAATGATAGACCACTAGAAGTTGCTTACTTGTTAGGATTTTATTTCCGGTATTCCTTCCTGTTTTCAATTTTAGGACAGCTAACTTTATTAGAATAGTTAGAAGCATGAATTCAATGGCATGGCTGAAAACAAATGGAGTGTTCCTTTGTAATGCCCACTTCCATGGTCTTGTGTTGCTATCTAGAGCTTATTCCCACTGAATATACTCTATGTTCTGGTTTCTTGTCTATCCCAAGCATTTTGTGAGCAACAGAGATATTCTGGGTGAATTTTATATTGTCTAACACTTTGTTTTAATTCGTGGGTATTCTTGAATCAGTGCTTCAATCAAATAGTAAACCAACTACTACCATTTAAACAGTATTTATTTTGAAGTCTGGTGGTTTGATTTTTTTTGTTTTGCAATTGTTGTCAGGGTAGTACTTCATGTTGCTCTCTAGAATTTTTACATGCATCGAATTGAAAACTGAAAAAGAAAATTTTTTTCAGTTGTTCCCTTATTCTTTCTTTTACATAATTTTTAAACTATTGTCTTCATAGTTACCCTAGAGATTACAAGTAACATCTTAACTTAAAACAATCTAGTTGGAATTAATTTCAATAGTAAATAAAACTTGTGCTCCAATATAGCCCAATTTCCTCCCCTTCTTTTGTACTATTGTTATTCAAATTTCATCTTAATTATAAGTTCACCAACACAGTTTTATAATTATTGCTTTATGTAGTTACTTTTAAATATGATAAAAGAAAAGAAACAAAATACATTTGTATTCTTTTTCCCAATTACATATGTAGTTACCTTTATCAGTGTTCTTTACTTTTTCATGTGAATTTGAGTTACTATCTAGTGTTTTTTCATTTCAGAATGAAGGACTCCTTTGGTATTTCTTGTAAGGCAGGTTTGCTAGCAATGATTTAGCTCAGTATTTCTGTATGTAGGGATGTGTAAATCTCTCTTCCTTTTTTGAAGAATAATTTTGCTGGATATGGTTAATGATCTTTCCTTTTAGAAAATTGAATGTCATCCTACTTCATGATTTCTAAAGAGTAGACAACATAAGTACTTTTATCTTACTGCTTTCATTATTATTTTACTTCAGTTTTCTTCAAACATTCAACGGTTTGACTATAATGAGTCAGGGTATGGCTCTCTTTGGATTTTTTTCTAGTTTATGCTTCTTGGATATGAATATTAATATTATTCAACAAATTTAGAAAATTTTCAGGCATTATTTCTTTAAATACACTTTCTGGCCCATTTTCTTCCTCTTCTCCTTCTGAGACTTTCATCATGCACATGTTGGTACATTTGATGGGGTCCCACCAGGTCGCTGAGGCTCTGTTTATTTTTCTTTTTTGTTGTTATTGTTCTGTTCCTTAGACTGGATAATCTCTTCAAGTTTCCTGATTCTTTCTTCTGCTAGTTCAAATCTGCTTCTAGTAAATTTTTGTTTTGCCTATTATACTTTTCAACATTATAATTCCTATTTTTTAATGATTTCAATTCTTTATTGATATTCTATATCTAGTTAGGCATCATTCTCACACTTTCACTGAAGTCTTTGGACTTGGTTTCTTTTGTTCTTTGAATATATTTATTATAGGTGATTTAAAGTTTTCTCTAGCAAGTCCAACATTTAAAATTCCAAAGAGACAATTTATATTGTTTCTGTTTTCCTGTATGTAGGCTATACTTTCCTTTTTCTTTATGTGCCTTTTTCTTGTTAAAGCTGAGTATTTAAAAGATTATAATATGGCAGTTCTAGGAAGCATATTTCTCACTCCCTCAGGTTTGTTGTTATTGCTCTGTTGTTGTTGCTGTTGTTGCTGCTGTTGCTGTGTATATTTACTGAGTGCCTGTCCTGGACTAATTCTGTAAGGTCTTTATTTGTTTTCTTATGGCTACTGAAGTCTCTGCATGATTAGCTTAATGGTCACTTAATGATTAAACAGAGGTTTCCTTTTAATGCCTTGAAACATTAAGTTTGCCAGCCTTTGCTGAAGGGCTCTCTCTCTGCATGTTAGGGCACATCTTCAGTGCTCCAGCAGTCAGTTAAAACTCTGCTTTAGCCTTTACTTCCTGATTGCACAGAGCTTCAAGGTCAGCCAGAGGTCAGGGTCTTCTAAGGTCTTTTCAGAGCATACACACAGCCCTGCACATGCACATGTCCTTCTAGATTCTCATGAATATATTGGATCTTTTCAAAGTTCCCTATGGGCATCTTGTTTCTCCTTTTGTATTTTTCAATCAGCCTCTTGTTAGCCCCCATAGGTATTGCTGCCTCGGGCTGTTACGGTGTTAAACAATAGCCAGAGATTTTTTTTTTTAACAAATGTCCTTGAAATAGGGTTACTTTCACAGAGCTAACTCTGAATCAGCCCAAATGAAAACAAATCTTGAGAATTGAGCTTTTCAGGGAGCTTCCATTCAGGACAAATAGTGATAATTCTCTTGCACTGAGGATTTGGGGAGGTCCAAAGCTGTCCTGCCACCTGCAGTGGCTGCTAGACTGCTAATTTTCAGTTACTCTAGTTGTGAGGCCATTTGCTTTCAAGGTAGCACAGAGCTAAGAAGAAGGGGATGGAAATAGAGCAAATTAAAATGCCAGTGTACTGTTTTTTGAGATTCAGCTGCTTTTTTTTAATTAAA